CAGGACCTGCTCATACTTGGGTTTTGTTGTTGTTGGGGGCACACCGAACAGTACTCAGGACTTACTCCTGGTTCTGTGCTCAGGGATAATTCCTGGCAGGGTTCAGGGACCCCCCCCTGTGGGGTTCTGGGAATCAAACCCTGGTTGGCAGCGAGCGAAAGTCAATCACCCTCCCTGCTGTCCCATCTCTCTGGCCCAAGATCACCACATTTCCCTCAGGAGAACCTTAGCCCATGCCATGCCCTAAGGATGCAGCTGCCTGAAGAAACTATTCTTGGCTATCTGCAGCACAGAGAGGGCTAGCAATTCGGCCCATGTCACACAGCAAGCCAGATGCTGGGCCCTTGGCTAACCAGACACCAGCAACTTCTCTAGCCCAGTCTCCCCAACTCAAGTGACGGTCCAGGGGGGCGGGGCAACGGGAGATGGCAGATGTGGGCTTCTCAGATGCTCCCACTGAGGGGAATAAGGTGGGGAGTGAATTTTGGAGGAAGTTAAACAGAAACCACAGAGAAATCCCCAGGGGCTGTTTCCCCTTGACTCATCAGGACTCAGTTCCCTGTCAGCCTCAGTGTCAACCCCACAGGCCCCAGGGCCACCCACAGCCATGGGCCCCTCCCCCTGCACTGGCCCCCACTTCCTGTCCTAGTCTCCTCTCTTCCTCATGTCCCGATGCTGTTCCCTATCTTTTCCTTTTTGTTGTTTGGGCCAAACCCGGCGAGGCTCAGGGCTTCTGGCTCTGCACTCAGGAGTTACTCCTGGCGGTGCTCAGGGGACCATGTGGGATGTCGGGGATTGAACCCGGGTCAGGCCGCATGCAAGGCAAACACCCACCCCACTGTGCCCTGCAAGACCAATGTCTTGCATTTCTACTGGAGTTGAATTTTTAAAAATTTATTTAGTTTGCTTTTTTGGGTCACACCCAGAGATGTTCAGGGGTTCCTCCTAGCTCTGCACTCAGAAATTACTCCTGGCGGTGCTTGGGGGACTATATGGGATGCCAGGGATTGGGATCGTGCAAGGCAAATGCCCTACCCGCTATACTATCGCTCCGGCCCTGGAGTTGAATTTTATTTCTGCCTTTTCCTTTTATTTATTAGTTTGTTTTTGATTTTTGGGCCATATCTGGTGGTGTTGAGGGAAGACTCCTGGCTCTGTGCTCAGTGATCACTGCTGTTGGGGCTCAGGGGCCTCTATGGGGTGTTGAGGATGAAACCTGGATTGACCCAAGAGTACGGAAAGCACCCTCCCCGCTTTGTACTATCTCCCTGGCCCTTAAAATTCTCCAGGATGCAGAGACAGGTCCCGGAGGGCACCAGCCTTGCATGTGGCTGACCCGGGTTTAAGTCTCCGGTATCCCGTAGCACCACCAGGAGTGATCCCTAAGCACAGAGCCAGGTAAGTCTCCTGAGCACTAGGCATAGCCGCCCCCCACACACACACAAAGAAAAACGTGGGGACCCCTTTTACTTTGAGCGTATGACCCCCCCACCCCATCTTCTTGCAAGGGGCGACTCCGGTGCTGGAGTCGCGGGCCAGGAGCACCCCGTAATCCTGAGTGTTAAATCCGGGTGGAGAATTAATTGCGCGGGTATGTATCCCCCCGCGATCCCTGCCCCTCCCCCAGCCAGGCGCCCCCACGTTCCCAGGCGCGGTTCCCAGGACCCACGCAAACCTCGCCCGCCTCCAAGCCCCGCGGTCCCCGCGCCTCCTCCTGGGCTCGCTGGCGCCCCCTCCTGGCGGGTCCCCAGCGCCAATTATTTTCCAGGCGGGATCAATAGATGGGTGGTGACCACCCAATGTTCAATCCCGTGCATCCCACAGGGTGTCCCACAGAGCCAGCAGTAAGCTCTGGGCACGGTGTGGCAGAAAATATACATTTGGGAAGGCGGTGGGGATATGTTCAGGGTTACTCCTGGCTCTGTGCTCAGGAGTTACTCCTGGCACGGCTCGGGGGTCCATATGGGACACTGGGGATCGAACCCCGGGTTGGCCGCGTGCAAGGCAAGCGCCCTCCACGTTGTGCTCCCCGGGTCCCCCCCCAATGATTTTCATTTTAATGCAATGTTTTTTGGCTCTTTGGGTCACACCCAGAGATGCTCAGGGGCTCCTCCTGGCAGTGCTGGGGGACCATATGGGACGCCAGGGCTCGAACCCGGGTCGGATGCATGCAAGGCAAATGCCCTACCCACTGTACTATATCGATCCAGCTCACCCACCCCAATTATTCTTTAATAAATAAGAAAATGTTGGTTCTGAATCAAGGCACCTCAAAACCCCAGCACGCCCTGGATTCCACCCCCTCCCTCCTCCCCAACCACCAGCACCCCTAGGTAGGTCTCCCCTAATCTGGCCAAGGAAAAAAAACATGAACACAGCGGGGCCAGAGCGATAGAACAGCAAGGAGGGCGCTTGCCTGGGTTCAGCTCCTGGCATCCCATATGGTACCCCTGAGCACCGCTGAGTGTGGTCCAAACACCCTCCCTCCACGCCCCAAATGCTCCAGCCCTTTTGTTTCTCGGGCCACGCACAGTGATGATCAGGAGTTGCTCCTGGCTCTGAGCTCAGGAATCACTCCTGGTGTGGTGCTCGGGGGACCCCTTGGGTGCGGGGGTTCCACCCGGGTGTGTGCAAGGTAGGCGCCCTGCCCCAGTGCCATCACAGCCTCTGCTGGCCCTTCTTTGGCAGTGCCAAGTTACCTCATGCAACGCACCAGCTGCAGAGCTGGACCGTTCGCCCGGGCACTCCCCGCCTCCCAAAAGCTTCCTCATCCCTCATGACCCAGATGCCCCTGGGTACATTTAAGCCCTCTGAGCCCGGGTCTTCCCTAGGCCTGCAGGTGACTCTGGGCGACTCTCCCAGATGCGACCGGCAGGTGGCGCCACAGCCCCTACCGCGCAGGCCTCACCCCGCGCCCCTTTCCAGCCCCCTCCGGGTTAGATGAGACCTGGCAAAGGGTCCCCTGCCAGCCTTTAGCCCATCGGCCACCCCGGGGCCTTATGGCAGACGAGCACGGGACCACCCCCGCGGCCTTGCGGACGAAGCCCGTGCAGCCCCCAGAACTACTAGGGGGCGCCCACCCCAAGTGAACACCACTGAGCCGCACGGTCTTGAGGTCACTTTATTGGGGTTTCTGAGCGCGGGCAGGGGCGTCCCAAACAGCCTTGACCAGCGATACCAAAGTAAAATAGAAACTTTTATTCAGAATTAAAGCAAGTACTTGAGTGTCACACACACACTATTACACGGGAACTAGCGGCTAATCCGGAGCGTTTTATTTGCACAATCACAACATGCGGGCAAACCCGGGTTGGGGCTGGGGCGGAGCCGAGGGTCCGGGGTGCGGGACTGGGGAGGGGGGGCGCCCCTACTCCTCCTCCCCCGACGACTCTCTCTCCATCGTGTAGGCCATGAAGCACGCGTCGGGTCTCTTGGGGACCAGGGGGTGGCCCGGTCTCACGATCTCGAAGCCCAAGAAGCTGAAGGTCCGGAGCAGGGCGGCTGCGGGCGGGGCGGGCGGGCGGGGGAGCGGTGAGCGGTGAGCGGTGAGCGGGAGGGGGAGGGGAGGCCACCCCGGGGACCCCTCCCGCCCCGCCCCCTTCGGGGTGGGGCCCCACCTCGGTCGTCGCGGCTCTTGGGGAAGCAGATGAAGACGTGCTGCACGCGCAGCTGCTCCTCCGCGAACTCCAGCAGCACCGCGAGGCTGGGGGGGCCGGGAGGGGAGGGGGGAGGGGCGTCAGCCGGGGGAGGGGGTGGGGGGGGCCGGGGGCCGCGTCCGCCGGGCCGGGCCTCACCTGTCCTTGCTCCCCTCGGGCAGCGGGCCCCCCGGGATCTCGATGTAGAGGCCGCTGCCGCTGAGCACCGCCCGCCAGTGGACGGCCCTGGCCTCGGTGAGCCGGGACTGCACGTGCAGGATCCGCGTCGGGCTGCTCGTCCCTTCCTCGGTCACGTCCAGCCGATGGTCCTGCGGGCGGCGTTCGGGGGTCACAAGGGTCCGGGCCCAGGGGCGCCGGGGACCCCCCCCCCGCCCCCGCCACTCACCGAGTACAATAAGTTAGCTGGCGGACTGCGATCCCTCTGGCTATTCCCTCGCCCACCTGGGATCTTCGGGGGTGGGTGAGGGGCATCAGGAACGCCACCGAGGCCCTGGACCCGGGTGACTGCAGCAGTTGGGGGACACCCTGGAACTGGAGCAAAGGCGGCGGCGGGTCGGGGGGCTGCGTCCGCCGGGGGGGACCCCGGACCCGGGGAACCGGGTGCAGATTCCCCGGCCGGCCGGCCCCGAACCGCCCCTCATCCCGCCGGGACCCCCAAAGCGGGACCTCGGCCCGGCAGAATCCCCCTCTAACCCATCCCCCTGCGCCCCCCCGAAGTCCCCGCGGGCCGCCCCGAGCCCGTCACGTGGCCCCCTTCCCCGCAGCCCAACGCCCCAAAACCATCAACTCCCGCGAGAGAACCTCCTCCTCCCCCCCCACCGCCGGTCCCTTAATCTGCTCTGGGACCCCCCCCCCACCGCCGCTGTCCACCCGGACCCTCCTCGCGGGACCCCCGCGACGCTGCCCCGCCCCCACCCGGACCCCGGGGAGCGGAGAGGACGGCCCCGCCCCCCCGCCCGGCGCGAACCCGCCCCCAGCGCGATTGTGGCCTCGACAAAGGGGCGGAGCTCGCGGCCCGGGGGGCGCCCGGGCCGGCCCGGGCCGCGCCCCGCCCTCCTCCTCCTCCCCCCGCCGCCGCGCCGCTTCTGGAAGCTTCGGCGGGGGCGCGGGGCGGGGCTCACCTCTCGCTGCTGCGGCCGCCGCGGCTGTGCAGGCTGAGGAGCGGCATGGTGCGGCTGGCGTGGACGGCGGCGCTGGGTTTATCCCCTTCCTTCTCTCTGGCGAAGCAGTGGCTGTTGAGGATGCGCTGCAGGGAGGATTTCACCATCCGGCCGCTGGGGTCCGAAACCAGCAAAACCTCCGCTGCGCCTCTCCGCGCCGCCGCCGCTGCTCGCCGTCCGCAAAATGGCGCCGCCGCCGCCGCCCGCCTTTATAGGCGCCGCGCCCGGGCCCCGCCCCTCACGCCGCCCGGCGCCACGGGGCGGGGCCGCCGCGGGGCCCGCCGGGAAAAAGCGCGCCGCGCGCCCGCCCCCCGCGGCGCCCGATTGGCGGCCGCGGGGTGGGCGGGGCCGGGCGCGCGCCGCCGATTGGGCAGGAGGCGGCTTCCGCGGGGCGGGGCCCCGGAGGGGCGGGGCCGCCGCGGGGCTGGGAACGCGCCGCGCTCGCCCCGCCCCGTCCCGCCCCCACCGCCGGGCCGTGGGGGGCGGGGGTGTCGCGACCGACCGATTTTGTCGCGGGGGGAGGGGGGGTGGTCTCTGGGGGCCCCCCCCGCTTTGCGTGCGTCTTTGTCGCGCTCTCTAGTGTCCCTTTCCCCGGCGGGCCTCTGTCTCCTTGGCGGCGTGGGCCCACAAGGACCCCGGATACTCGGGATTTTGGGGGTCCCCAGCGGCCCCCTTCCCGTCGGAGACCCTCATTTTCGGCCAGAGCCGGGTGGAGACGGGGGTCCTCGGGGAGGGGGCGCTTTCTCCGTTGGTCCCAGAAACCACCGTAGCGAGGCACTGGGGAGCCGGGAGCAGAGAAAGCACGTGAATGGGATGAAATGTTGTTGTTTACGTGGTGAAAATGGTGATGGGAGGCTCCGAGTTCAAAGACCCGGATTGACGGGGCCCAAAAACAGACAACAACAAGAAGATTCTCCCCTGCGGGTGCCGGAGGGAAATTTTAGGGGCGAGCCCAGTCCGCGTTCGTCAAGCAAAAAACAGGGTCCTTCCCGGGTCCTAGTAGGGTGGTTTGTGGGGGGAGGGGTTTTTTTTTTAATAGGGTTTTTTTTTTTCCCCAAATTTTTGTTTTCTGGCATTTATTTCGGAGTCACAGCCGGCTGTTCTCAGGGGCTTACTCCTGACTTTGTGCACAGGGTTCACTCTGTTTGTTTGTTTTTTTTTTTCTTTTTTGGGTCACACCCGGGGATGCACAGGAGTTACTCCTGGCGGTGCTCGGTGGACCATATGGGATGCTGGGAATCGAACCCGGGTTGGCCGTGTACAAGGCAAACGCCCTACCCACTGTACTATTGCTCCAGGGTCACTTTTTTTTTTCTTTTTGGGTCACACCCGGCATTGTACAGGGGTTACTCCTGGCTCATGCACTCAGGAATTACTCCTGGTGGTGCTCGGGGGACCATATGGGATGCTGGGAATCGAACCCGGGTTGGCCTCGTGCAAGGCAAACGCCCTCCCTGCTGTGCTATTGCTCCAGCCCCTCCAGGTTCACTCTTGGCTGTGCTCAGGGCTCACTCCTGGCTCTGTGCTCTGGAGTCAGGCCTGGCACTGTGCTCCGGACTGGCTCCAGACTCTGTGCTCAGAGATCACTCCTGAAGGGACTTTTTCACACTTTCCTCACTGTGATCTCTCCAGCCCCAACTTTAGGGTTTAGGCACAAGTCCAGATTTCAGACACTGCTTTGTATCTTCTGTCTTGGCAAGGGAAAAATACATTTCTACTTCCGATGTACGGAAGTCAATTCCTGCTGGCCTCGCAGAGCAGTCAGTGGCCACAGATAGTGGAACAGGAACTGCACAGAGAAGCCTGAGCCACACTAACAGGCCGTAGGTGTTGGCCTTGTGCATCCTGCCTGCCTTTGATCACCTGCATCCCATAGGGTCCTCGCAGCCCCACCAAGAGTAATCCTTGAGCACAGCTAAATGTGACCCCCCCCCAAACAAAAATTAATAAAAATAAATGAACCTCAGAGCAACGAATATCTCTGTGTGGCACACACCACTTCTTACTAATTTTCTTAGAAGTATTTTTGTAAAAAAGGATGGAGAAGTGGAGTGGTAGAACATCTGGTAGGGTACTTACCTTGCACTCAGCTAACCTGGATTCCATCCTTCGCACTGCATAAGATTCCCCAAGCCCACCAGGAGTGATCCCTGATCACAGAGCCAGGAGTAAGCCCTGAGCACACTGCTAAGTGTGGGCGAGCCATCACCAATAAAAATAATAAAAATAAAAAACAATATTATTTATTTATTTATTTTGCTTTTTGGATCACACCCGGCGATGTACAGGGGTCACTCCTGGCTCTGCACTCAGGAATTACTCCTGGCAGTAGCTCAGGGGACCCTATGAGATGCTGGGAATCGAACCCGGGTCGGCCGCGTGCAAGGCAAACGCCCTCCCCGCTGTGCTATTACTGTTCCAGCCCCCCAACATGTTTTAAATAAAATTATTTTAAAATATATAGTCTTTTGGGCTGGAGAGATAGCACAGCGGGTAGGGCGTTTGCCTTGCACGTGGCCGACCCAGGTTCGATTCCCAACATCTCATATAGTCCCCTGAGCACCGCCAGGAGTAACTCCTGAGTGCAGAGCCAGGAGTAACCCCTTGCATCGCCAGGTGTGACCCAAAAATAAATAAATAAATAAAATATATAGTCATTTACTAGACAGATAAACCAATTTTAAATTTTAAGGGGAAAATGCCTCATTTTGTCAACCATTAAATCTTTTCTAAATGACTGATTGTCATTAGTTCTTATTAATTCAGCAATTATTAATGTCAGTGTTCATAAATGATATATATAGTTACATTTCTGAATAAATATTACAAAACTTAAAAAAAAAAGGGGGGGACCAGAGTGATAGTACAGTGGGTAGGCCGTTTGCCTTGTATGCAGCTGACCCAGGTTCGGTCCCCGGGATCCCGCATGGTCCCCAAGCGCCCCCCAAGAGTGATCCCTGAGTGCAGAGCCAGGAGTAACCCCTGAGACACTGCCGGGTGCGACCCAAAAACTCAAAATAAATTTTCAAAAAGACTTAAAAAAAAAAGAAAAAATAACAGGAGCCAGAGAGTGATCTCAAAAGGACTAGAGCACAGCTTGAAGTGCATGCAAGGCTGGAAGTTGGATCCCCAGTTACCTTCCTTACTCCAGCACTGTTGAAATCTAGGCCTGATGACACCCCAGCTCATCGGAGCTGACTCATCACTGCCTTATAAGCATGGAACAATTTGGGGCCCCGAATGCCTTGTGGGGATTTGGCTGGGAGGCCCTCAGAGCTCTGCTTCGGAGCACCCCCATAAAAATTTCAAAAAAATATTTTTTTGCATCATACCCCTGATGCACAGGGGTTATTCCTGGTTCATGCACTCAGGAATTACTCCTGGCGGTGCTGGGAGACTATATGGGATGCTGGGAATAGAACCCGGCTTGGTCGCATGCAGTGCAAATGCCCTACCCACTGTGCTATCACTCCAGCCCCTTTCTTTTCTTTTTGCTTTTTGGGTCACACCTGGCGATGCACAGGGGTTACTCCTGGCTCTGCACTCAGGAATCACTCCTGGCAGTGCTTGGGGACCCTAGGGGATGCCGGGGATCGAACCCGGGTCAGCTGCGTGCAAGGCAAACGCCCTACACCCTGTGCTATCACTCCAGCCCCTTTCTTTTCTTTTTGCTTTTTGGGTCACACCTGGCGATGCACAGGGGTTACTCCTGGCTCTGCACTCAGGAGTTACTTCCTGATGGTGCTCAGGGGACCATATGGGATGCTGGGAATCGAACCCGGGTCGGCCGTGTGCAAGGCAAACGCCCTACTCACTGTGCTATCTCTCCAGCCCCATTCTTTTCTTTTTTTTTTTTTGGCCACACTAGGTGGTGCTCAGGGCTGACCTCCTGGCTCTGCATTCGGGGGAGCCTGGCACACCAAGGCTTCCCCAAGCTTCCAGTGGGGCTCAGGAGAGCCTTGGGGTGCCAGGGATCAAACCCTAGGTTGGCTACTTGCAAGATAAGTGCCTTAGCCCCTGGCCTCTCTCTCCAGGCCCCCAGCTGCTAAAGAAATTTTCCCCAGCGTAGGGCTGGAGTGATAGCACAATGGGTAGAGTGTTTGCCTTGCACGCGGCCCGACCCGGGTTCAATTCCCCGCATCCCATAGGGTCCCCTGAGCACCGCCAGGAATCGTTCCCGAGTGCATGAACCAGGAGTAACCCCTAAGTATCACTGAGTGTGACCCAAAAAAGCACACACACCAAAAAATTCCCCTAGCGAAGATAAATGAGTGCCTTTCTTTAGAGACGTAGCTGGTGGAATACGTGGCTTGTTTTTGTTTTGTTGGGGGGCTGTACCCAGTGGTATTCCGGGGTTACTCCTGGCAGACTCAAGGGACCTTACGGGGTGCTGGGGACTCAGGTTACACACACCTGACTATCTCACCTGCTATACTGTTGCTCAGGTGTTACTCCTGGCTCTGTGCTCAGGAATCACTCTTGAGGGAGCTTGGGAGAATGCCAAGGGGTATTGGGGATCCAGTCTGGGTTGGCCGTGTGCAAGGCAAGGACTCTCTCCGTAGGGCTGGAGCAATAGCACAGCAGGGAGGGCGTTTGCCTTGCACGCAGCCGACCCGGGTTCGATTCCCAGCATCCCATATGGTCCCCTGAGCACCGCCAGGAGTAACTCCTGAGTGCAGAGCCAGGAGGAACCCCTGTGCATCGCCCCGTGTGACCCAAAAAGGAAAAAGAAAAAAAAAAAAGAACTCTCCGGGTTGTCCTATTGCTCAGGCCCCAGTGATGGCGCTTTAGTTTAGGAGAACCGTCCTGGATTTCTCTGCAGAGCACGCCCGTTCCTCTTGGGGGCGCTCTTCCACATGCTGTGGTCCATCCCAAACCGTCAAACACACCCCCACCCCCACCCCCACTTTTCCCGTTGCTTGCTTGGTTCTTGGTGCTGACCAGGACTTGCGTTTTTCCAATCTCTAGAGGGGTTCCAGTTTTCAAAATCTGATTTTTCCTTTACTTTCGCCTCTCGAGACTTTGTTGTTACTGTGTCTGGCATATCGAATATTCTCGGTAGCTTGCCGGGCTCTCCGAGAGGGGCGGAGGAATCGAACTCGGGTCGGCCATCTCCTTGCCAGCAATCTGGTACTTGGGAGCTTTGGAGCCAGGAGCTGCTGGTAGACGCGTCCCTTGGTTTATCAGTCACTTGGATGTTTCTTTTCCCCAGTTCATCCCAGCAATATCCAGGGCTGTGGGAAGAATTTACGGGGATATGAGGGTGTGCCCAGAGCCCACGGCCCTCACTGTGACCATTTGGGGCATGAATTCAGGTTCCCGGCAGCTTGGTTTTTTTTTTTTTTTTTTTTTTTTTTTACAACAGGGAGGATATTTTTACAACATTTTTACAACATTTTCACAACTTTTTACAACAGGGAGGGCATCATTTACTTTGCATGGGCCTGACCCAAGTTCGACCCCCGTATGGTTCCCTGAGCACTGACAAGGAGTGACCCTTGAACACAGAGCCAGGGGTCAGCCCTGAGCACTGCCAGGTGTGGCCCACCCCCTGAAAAAAGGGGGTGGCTTCAGAGCTCGAGTGATAGTACAAAGAGGAGGGCACTCGCCTTGCCTATGGCCGCCCCAGGAGCTGGTGAATGTTGAGCACAACCAGGAGTGATTCCTGAGCACTGAGCCAGGAGTAGTTCGTGAACACCACTGGGTATGATTCCCAAATCCTACACCTCGCCCTCTTCCATAAAGAACAGGGGTTTGGGATTGGTC